CAGAAGTAATCCTGTTATTTGCAGATTTTTAATATTTCCTACAACTTTTGTGATATCATACTATGTCAGTACAGTTTTGGTAATATTATTATATTATTATACTTAAAATCCTTTTATTCTTGAAATGTTAATGTTTATTGCATTTAATGTTTAGACCATTTTTCTCGAATAATTGGTGTTTATTGCATGTAACATATTTAAAATCATTTTTCTTGAGCTATTAACATTTATTGCATGTAACTATTATATTTAAGATCATTTTTCTTGAAATAAAAAAACTGAAAAAATAAATAAATGAGTTTAATTTTTTTTATATATATATGTTATTGATTTTTCACAGAGAAGAAGGGAGAGGGACAGAGAGTCAGAAACATCGATGAGAGAGATCGATCAGCTGCCTCCTGCACGCCCCCTACTGGGGATGTGCCCGCAACCAAGGCACATGCCCTTGACCAGAATCGAACCTGGGACGCTTGAGTCCACAGGCCGACGCTCTATCCACTGAGCCAAACCAGTTCGGCATGAGTTTAATTTTTGCCATGTCACAGATGTTTGCTGTTGTTCACAAGTATGCTGCAGTAAGAATGTGTGCAAGGCTAATGAAAATTCCATCACAGATACTAAAAGACAATTAAATTTTGTAAAAGTGGGGCAATACTTTCAGATCGTAGGAACACTTAAATTGATTCTTTACTACCTTTTATTTCAAAAGGTGTTACCAGCAACCAGATCGCTTTGTCTTCAGAGCATTACTATCATAAATAATTGCCAACATAACCTGTGCTCCAAAACTTGGTAGGCCCAAAGCAAAGGCTTCCACTTCAATCCACATGAACAGAACCACTACCCATGATATGAAACATATATAATATATATTGTAGCAGAGTTCTATAATTTTTATAACCTGTAAAATACTCAATATAGAAATGTTTCCTATCAGTTCTCCCAAGAATTCAACTAGACAATTTATAGTAAGGATTTACTTCTTTTTCTAAATGTGTTAATTCTGAAATCATGACATCTGATTCCAAGTGCTAAGACTTCTTGACTGCCCTTCTTTGAATTCTTCAAGTATATTCAGCATATACTGTTATAATGGCTGCTCTCAAATGAGAAAACAGTTGTTTCTAATCATGCAAATAAAGGCCTCAGTGTTACTTTAGGCTGTATATCTTCTAGTCATATACCTAAATATATGCGCATGTATGTGTACTTGTTGCACATATTCATGTGAGTGTGTATTATGTAAACATACATATCACAATGCTATGTCATATATTCCCATATTATTGTTCTTCTGTTAAATAGCAGATGCATACTGTACAACGTAAATGACCTGCTTTTAAGAGATATGTAAGCTGCTTCCAGTTTTTTTATTACAAACAAAGCTGTGATGAAATTCCTTTCTCATAAATCTTTGTATTCATATCTGACTTCCTTAAAATAAAGTCTTAGATGTGGCCTTGATGAATCAAAGTGTATAAACACTTTTAATGATATTGAGAAACATCATCAAATTGTCCCTCCAGAAAGGGTGTGCCAATAAACACTCTAATTAACAATATATGAGTGCACCCATTTTATCCAGTTCTTTATAATTTTTTAGATGTTTGCCAATTTGATGGGGAACAGTAACAACATATATTTTAATTTGTATCTTTTATTAACAAATGAGAACAAAAAAAAATCATGTTTCTTGACTACTTGTGTTTCATCTTTTAAAAATCATGCTTTCATTGTTTCCTATATTTTTTTATTGAGGAATACCTCTCTTGCCTATTGGATTATAAAATTTCTTTATATGTAAAAATATTAATTTTTTTATCTATCATATATATGTTGGGTCTGAGCCCCTCTGCCAGGGACTGGACCTTCTTGGATGCTGGGTATTCGACAGAGAAGCCATAAGAAGTTGTGAGTATATGAGAGAGTCTTTATTGTAGAAGCTAGTGGCCATGTAGCCATTGCTAACAAGGAGCCACTAGACAAAACAGTTCTTCAAAGCAAAGCCCCATACAGTAACCACATACCGGCTGGCTATCAATACCAACAGGAGAATGAACATGCTGTAGTATATCCAGATGATGGAATACTACACAACGGCAAAAACGAACAGTTACATACATATATCAGCATGGTTCACTCTCAGATACTGAATGGGAAAAAATTCAGTATAATACATATGGTATGAAATGCACAATTATCAAAAATAAATATGTAGTGTTTAGAGTTTCCCAACAATACATGCAAAGAGGGGTAATTAGAGCTTTATCTTGAAAAATGTTAAAACTACAAAAATTCAATTATTTTATAGCCTGCAAAATTTAGTCTTTTACTATAATTGGTGATTACTTTAAAAGGAAAGCATACCTTGACATCAACTCACTTGCAAAAAAGAGAATGAAAACCCAATTACAAATAAACTATTCAACAGTGGTAAAGTCAAGTCAAACATACCTATAAGTTCAGGTGGGCTTCTTTCATTAAACCGCTCACACAGACGAATGAATGTCTCGGTATTCTCAGTTGTAGGGCACTCACCATGTCTAGCAATATGAAAACACTTTTTTAAAAAAGAAATTACACATTTCAGCAAAAGGTTTCAATATTAAAGAAACCTAATATATGACTTACCCTTTACACTGAAGTTTTATATATTTGATTCCTTCTTTTTCTATGTCGTTTCTGTCATAGAACCTCGAAGTATTTGTCAAATCCACCAGCAAGCCCATTTTAACCTTATTAAGAAAAAAAAAGGGGGACAGATTTACTAGTAACTGAATTTGTTCCAAAACAAGCTGACTAAATGGCAATACGCCAGTTCATCCATCCACACTGGGAGGTTTTATGCTCACTCTGCCAATGAACTATTAACAACATACGTATCACTTATCCAAGTCTTATTCAGGGCACTACAACTTAGCAGGCAATACATGAAATAAATTAAACCCCAAACTAATGATGGAACATAAACATAAGCAAAACAGACTCCAATATCACAAAAGCCTACGTAAAAAAGGCAAGCACTGATATAGTTTTCGGCATCTGCTGCTCCACCTATGATTTACTAGACAAGAGGCTAGTGCAAGGGATAGCATCTATCTGAAATACACCCCAACCCAAACCCCAGGCACACATCAGCCCAGCATTCCAAGCAACCATCACAGGAAGCAGCTAAATTCTAAAATGAGTATATAAGGTAAAAACTGTGTATGGCTGAAAGTCCCTTGTAAATCTTTTA